CCTGAGGCATTTGGACCAGGAGAAGATAACGAACTCCATGCTGTCACTAGAGATTGACTGTTTCTACACACTACCGCACGTCACGCTGGGCATGTCTATTTTATTACGATTGCAAGCCTATTCGTAAATTCTTTACTGTTTTTAATTTGTTGTCGAACCACGCCAACAGAAATTTAGGTTTTATTTCCTCTTCCCAGACCGCGCGTGTAGTATAGATTCACTAGCCTACAGTTTTCCTGTCCCGTATCGTGCCATTACTTATTCTAGGCTTCGCATGGTCGGTACATACATGCTGCCTATTCTTTTTAGAAACTCTTGCTGAACTCAGTTTCATTTGATTTATATGTACACATTAAACATTACATATCTTGAAAATACTGATGATTACTGTGCCCACACCTGACAGTGGAAACCCAATACTCTTGACAAACTCCACTTAACTCAAGACTAATCGTAACAGGGACGAACACAGTGACATGGTTCATTGTCTGATTGCAACACTGCAAGTACCAAAAGTATATCAAAAGCGGCAATGGTTAACTACAGTTAGAGAGCTTTTGCAGTGTTGTCTAGTACTAATTTGCGATTTAAGTATGTCAAGAGATCTTTGGCCGGCGACGGTCATGGACGAAGACCAAGTGGTTCGGCAAGCTTTGGTGTACGGCGAAGGGACGTCAGACAACTCTGCTTGTTACAAACCTACAGAGATGGGAATGACGAACTAGTTTAAGCCATTGAAGAGGATAGAAGATCTCTGGGGAGTTTAAAGTCCGAACAGAATGATTATTTAGCCAAACCGGATTGAATATTTGAAAATATGATATCACCAACTCTTCCCTTATTTCCGTACGCAAGTTTACACATGTTTGCTTCAAACATCTGCACTAGGAAACACTTCACTTTTTCACTTCGCACCATTGGCATATCCTTGACTCTTCAAGATCAATTATTTCACATTCGATAGACTGTCGATTAGCGAACAGCTGTGTGATAACGTTTCCGCACACAACCGCACATCTTCCGGGGTCTGTTCTTTTTATTACGATTGCTAATCTATTCGTAAGTTGTTTATTGACTTTAATTTGAATTGTAGAACCACAGTAATAGAAATTTATGTTTTATTTTCTTAACCTAGACAGTTTAGGTCAATTGTTATGTAATTTCCCCTTTTCGTCTCGTGCGACGTACTTAGTCTAGGCTTTTTATCGTCGCTCCAACTTTCCTCAGCGAAAAGGTCACCAGACGTATGTTAAACTCACCATGCCTGCTGTTTTGAAATATCTCAAATGTATTATGTATGAATGGTTATGTGATCATTGGGAAACCGGAATCACTCCTGTTTTCGCCTAAATTAGATATTGTACTTTTGTATTATATCTTTGTTTGCATTATACTAGGTTCTGGAACAGCGCCATGCTTACAAACAGTGCGCTGTGGTGCTCTGTCTAAAGTTGATCAACTTAGATTCAACTGATTCCATTTGTGTTTATGCTGTCTGTTCGAGGGGGGTAAGAATAAATCTATCGTTCTGTTGTAATTCGTACACCGGGACTCTGGGGGCGGTGCGCGAGACTGCCTGAGGCTTTCCCGCAAGTTTTAAACTATAGACGGTATGTATCAGGCACAACCTATCTCCACCTTCCACTTTATCTCTGTGCTCGAACTGATCAGGAATGACTTCTTCCTATCCACATCTTCTGAAACCGAAGTTCAGTAAGGGAGCTGACTGATTTAGGGGTGCACCTGAATTTAAACTGCTAAACAATACTGCGTGTTCCCATTGGTGATTTGACTCTCCAAAGTGCGAGTTATCGTTTTACGCCACTGGTCCTCACTGGCTTCTCAAAACCTCTTTTAAGCAACAAGGTGGTAGGATGTCAGCGTATCGATTACAGTAGCCGATTTAACTGTATGAATGAGAGGTGTGGCCATCGGTCGCCAAGATGTTGGTGTCCGCACAGCCTCGCACATGCCGGTTGGAGACACTAATTAATCGCCGCTCAAGTATGGCGGTTTTTCACCTGCATCTGCAACCATGGGCACATAAACACTGCAGTCAGTTCACGTAATGCGAACGATAGAAATGCCTTATTGAACCTGTGACATCTGTGGCGTCGATAGAAGGTTTCCTCGGTTGGGATGGCCGTATTTTCAAGACCACATTGAGTACCATCCTACTCTGTGGGTGTGAAACTTAGCACCGGTCTGAGGCGCCAAGTCTTTGACCATCCCTGCCTGCGATGCTTTGCTGTTGTCCGGTGGCACCAGCATGTCTGCAACGATGGTGTGGGTTGGCGAGTGCTAGGCAGTGATAAGCAGGCTACTCTCTTAGAACAACCGAATAACTTGTGTTGGCTTGGGCACACACTACTTTTGCCTGTTCACCGCGTACCGAGGAGGGACGTATTTTGCCTGCCAGACGTATGGTAGCGCAAAGCTTGTGGTGGGCAAATTAACTTGGTAGCGGGAAACGAAATGACTTATCAGAAAACGGTGCCATTGGCATGTCTCACCTTCCAGGCTGGAGTGCACGTGAAACGCCTTGTGCTTGGCTCGAGACGTTACAGGATGTGACTAGCAGTGGGGACCAGTGACGCGTCTGCTGCCGTCTAGTCGGATTGCCTGTTTAAAGTATGTTTGGTGCTGAGTTATCTGCGGAGTAATGGCTGATTATGACGCGTGGCAGTGAAAGCCGCAAGGAAGCTGTCTCGCCGATGCCGCCTTATCTTTGCACGATAGCCAGCTGTTTGTGACGGAATGTTATCTACACAAGGTATAGGAGCCTTGACTCTGAATGTTTGCTTAAGGCATTAAGATTTTCCGGTACATCCCCTTTCTTTCCCGCAGGCCGTTATGGTTGTATGCCAGAGGAGCATCAGTCCAAATGTCTGATGTACTGCTGTTGGTTATGATGAAGTATGCCGGTTGGTATTTTGCGACATACCTACTCGTATCGCAATGGAACAGCCGTTTGGTGGTCAATGCATGCATTGACGCGGTGCTGATCTTCGAATACCTGTGTATCAGGTGAATTGATGTGTGCTATAAGCTACCATTTTACCTGATGTACCGGAGCTTGAAAGTAATCGTCCGGTAACACAGCGGAGAGGCATTTGGTGACCGATCGAAAGTAACAGCTCTTTTCTCGCATGTCTTTCTACTTGAAACCAGCATGATGTTCAGTTAAGTAAGCTGTGCCGAGTTCGTCCACTGCTGAGTTTGTGCGCATTCGCCTCTTATTTGTTAACGATTGTTTGGTCTGAGAAGAAGCATAGCGAGCTAGATGGCTACAATTGCTCGCCTCACTGTTCACCACAGCTCGCATCGATCGTGCTTCACTCCAACGGTACTGAGTTTGTTACAGTTGTTGTCACTTTTATCTAGGTTTCAAGAAGAGAGATCTGTCGGCTTATCCGTAAGGACCTACGACGAGCAAGGGGAGACCGAATTTGTCCGCTCCTAACTGTTGACTTGCTTGAAATCGGGCTGCGTGGTGTCAGGTTGACATCTGGTCTTGTCGCAATGTAATGTTACACATGCTGGCATCTTTTTATCTTCGTCCGCACTTTCTCTCGGCCCAGCTTTTAGATCTCCACTCCCCCAGCCTGAGTTATATTGACCCTTGACTCTGAGGATTAAGTGTCCGGACGTTCTTGTCCACGATCAAACAGATTGTTAGACCTGGCTGTTCCTCCTTCACAGTCGCTCTTCTTGTAGTGGGAATGACGAATGTCTGTAATACATTCCTAACCTTATACACCTCACCCATTTCAAGGCTCACATACATGGTTCTAACCTACTGCTTTGACTTAGCTTCCTTATCTTCACAATGCCGTCCATTCCATTAGGTTAACCTACCGCCATCGGCTGCATTTCTTTCTCTCCAATCTCTATGACATACATAGCAAACTCGGCCTAGTAGAGCTTTCTCCACTTTGGTGCTCGTACAATATCCACACATCTCTACCACCCCCGTCATGGTACTCGTTGCTTTCATCCTTTTTGGCTTCCTTGCTGTTAGAGGCGGCTTTTAGGATGGATTGAAGTTCCTGTGGGGGCAATCGTTGCACAAATCCTCCCGGCCATATTACGTGACCGGCCATTCATGCAAACAACCCACCTGGTCTACAATTCGCTCAGACAAGTAACTGAAATATTTTGTTACAAGCCACTTGTTACTAGTTTAAGTACATGCGGCCACGCTGAGCAGTATGTCCATTCAAGAGCATCTTTCTTAATGGGATACCTCACATGCGACTGTTCACTGACTCCATCATCTATATATGGACAGTAAATGCTGGACTAAGTCTGCGCCCCGTTTACCTTAGTGCCCATCCACTCGCTCATTTGTCTGTTCATCTCTCCCACACCTGCGGCGCGCTACCCACAGCTTTACAACTAATCAGCATGGCTGTATGATCGCAACAGGTTGGTCATTTCACACTTATCACTTTCCAAAGCGATTCGGAACTGTTATATTCAACCGAATATCCGCCGCGCGTGCACAAAGGTATTGGACAGCGGTTTCGCCCTTTGGAAGTGCGTGTCCAGTGAGACCCCAGAACCCCATCTCCTTCCCTTTCAAGCTACTGGTTAAGACCATTGAGACACGCGAGACGAGCGTCAATCACCGTGATCAATTGGTCAGCTGTGATATAGCGCGACACTTATCAAGCACTGCAGTGGACGAGGCTGGCACCATGGGCACGAGTCCGCATGATGGGTTGCCCTTGTCCGATGGGGTTATCTACTAGTTTGAACAATTAGTGGGTAGGTCTGGCAGGCTGGAGTGGCTTGCCTTGTTTAACTACAATCTACCTATTGAATCAGATACACCGGTCCCCTTTTCCTGTGAGGTAAATGAGAGATGCTTGTGTCGATATTAGTGATATTATTAGTGTGGATCACAGCGAAGCGAGATTTTTCATCCTCAGCTTGATTACTTACTTGCACTCACTTTGACTACAGCATCAAAGTCGATCTTTTCGTTGAATTTTCAGTGTGATTTTGGCTTTGCGAAATACATTGGACTGGGCAACAAGACCTGGACTTTTTGCGGCACTCCGGAATACGTCGCTCCCGAGGTGATCTTAAACAAAGGGCACGATTTTGCTGCGGACTACTGGTCTCTGGGTATCTTAACTTTTGAACTTCTTACTGGAACGTGAGTATTGATCCTTGTTCTTAGGATTTAATTACTTTCATGTCCCTTATGTTCTCCTTCGGCACAATTTTGCTTACTCACATTTCGGTGGCTGACCGACTGCTGTTAATTCTGTTCAAAATTGTGATTTCGTACGCCTATATTCCTGCATGTTTATACGCTTGTTCACGCTCATAGCCAATAGGCACCTGTTAGCGCTAGACTCCCCAGTTACCTTCATCACGTCTTGTTGTGAGCAAGTGCTACTTTCATCGAGAAGGAACAGGAATATTATAGAGAGCATTGGGACACCACTTAGCCGGCATTCCAGGATAGCACACAGTCGCGGAACATTATCCGTCTAACCTATTCGCTCTAACCCCTTTGAAGGTTTTGGTCGTGGGAATATGTCACATTCACCATGGTGAATCCAAGCCACAATGACATGAGTTAGCTGGATGCCGCTGTCGAGTATTGCTCCACGTGCATACGTGGTCCCATCAACGAATGAGTATGTCACCACATGCACCGGGGTTCAGTTATCCATGCTGCTTATCCTACTTTGATACATTTTCAAAGACACGCGTTTCTCGCTAATTTGAACGTGTGTCCCGCCCCACATAAACCTATGTCTCAAAAAGACTACGTACCGACAGCCTCGCTTTGTTGGTGGACTGGACCCTCGTATTCATGCAACTGTCCACACATGTTACGAGTTCAAGCACGCACGGTTCCGGAAGTGTTGACAGTTCCCACTAACACTAGAGTGCACTGCTTTTTCACTTGTCGCCGAATGGGCAGTTTACCTCACCACCATGTATGTGTTGTCAACTCGGTTTCCCTGTGGTTGTCACACACGGTTTACTTTCGGTTGCTTATCTCGTTGATTTCCTATTCATTTGTGGGTCCCAGTTGCCCTAGCGGTTTTCACCCATACATTACCGTTGACAGATGGCATGTACGAAGCCTCACTTGTGGACGAAATGTTGTCGGCTACTTAACCCCTAAAGAAGCCGTAGGTTAAACAGTAATGACCCCGATCCAGTTCTGTCACGTCCAATTTCAAATCCTAGCCTGGATCCTCTCGTCCCATCCGCCTTAGTTGTCATTTGCGTACAGGCACGATAAGCATTTACACGGACAGGAGTCAGAGCCCGACTGGATACTGTGCAAAATCGCACCTTTAGAAAGTTTTCCGCCTTGGCAGTAACCGCTACCTCAACGTCTAAAGGTCACCCCTTTATCGAAATTAACCGATGTGCATGTTTCGTCCTGTGCACTAACGACACAGCAATACTACATGTGTATACATAATTCGGTTAGCAGCCGACCACCATGGTAGCGCTAATGTGGTCAACTAACAGATGTGAGTAAACCGCAGGAGTTCGAGTGATGGCTGCATATTCCCACCCGGTGTTTATAGAACAGATCTGTGTCCTAAGGCGATTTCCTACCGATGTGACACACAGAGAGGTCGAACGATGGCCTGTTAAAGAAAGTCTATTTCACTTACCCCATCCTGTGTGTGCGTGCTGACGCAATAAGATGTGCACTGTACTCGTACTGGGTTTCGTCCCCAAGCACAAAGCATTCAAAATTTGTACGTTTTATCCTAATCATCAAAAATTAGACAGTAGAAACCGCAACGAGGCGTCCCCATCCATGGTATCGTGTCACTCCATAAGCTCGGGCTGATTTCGATGTGTGTAATCAGTTCACACATCTGGCGTCTGTTCACTGTGTTGGTCTGTTTGACTAGCGTAGAAACATCGTCTAAAGCAGTGTGTAATGTGCCCACATCATTTATTTACTTAGCAAGGCAAAGGCAGTCTGGAGCAAAATGTTGTCACCCAAAAATAGTTCTCTCGTCGACTGATCACCAGTTGGTGGAACGACTAACTACCAGTGTCAACGACCTTGGCTGTTGAAAAATATCTAGAGTAACCAACCTCTCGCGTTCGCGAATCAGGTTCTTCTGTGCTGGGATGCGGTTCTTCAGTTTTGCGTACACTAAGCTCATGGTCTGTCTAGTTGGCTATCACTTTTGCGTGTTCGATCTTGGGGTTGCTCTGGCTTTGACGAAGTCGTTTAGTGAAACGTATTACGAACCAGTTTGGCTTACACGATGTCTGGCCATACTGTCTGCCGACCTGTGTCTACTTTATCGATCCGGTGCCCGGAGATGTGCTTGAGTTTTGCCTACTAGTCTAACAAATAAAGTAATGCTTTCAGTGAGGTTTGGTAATAATCGGTTGGTATAGTTGTTTGGTATCTAATGCTTCCAAGACCTATTTGAGACAGCGGACTTACCTAGTGACCAAATGTTTGAGCAATCCGCATCGACGCAAAGCGGCTGAGCCAGGATTTACAGACTGCCATAACGTCTCTGGACTACAACCGAATTTCCAATAAGGCTTCAGACGTCAAAGTGAAACCGGGGCAGGATTCAAAGTTCAAAAGTTTAATACCCGTGCATCCTACTAACAGGTCTGGGTCTATTGGTAGCTGTTGTAATGTAGTTAATATGTCAGGGTTTTTAAAGGGAAAGGGAATATAGATTGCTGGAGAAAGGTTTAACTTTTACCAACAATAAGTCTAGACTTTATGCGTTGAGAACGCAGTGACAGGGTTGCCCGCTGCGAAGCCAGAGAATATTCGTGAACAATTAGTAAATATCATTAATTTTCAGCAACCGGATGAGCCAAATCTTCCGCCAACTGATTGTATGGCATTAAATTCCTTGAAGAAAGATCGCAGCATTGTACTCACAAAAGCTGACAAAAGGAAAAACCATGGTTGTAGTGAATAGGTCAGAATACTTAGAAAAAATGGGACAACATTTGGAGACGAGTCCATATGGAGTAGTTGTTGACAAGACCGTGGCGTCAGTAATGAACAAGAGTAAAACGGAGGTTGGTAACTATTTAAGAACCGTGAAGGACGATTTAGGGGCAGGCAAGTGGTACAGTCTATACCCAAAATCGACTTTACCTCCGAGAGTTTATGGCTTGCCAAAAATTCACAAACCCGAAGTTCCCGTACGGCCCATAGTCGACGGTATAGGCTCCCCGACCCATGAACTTGCTATTGCAGTCTCTAACAGGGCGAACGAGTACATTCGTTCAGACTTATGAGTTCGCTCAAAAGATAGCAAGTCTCGAAATCCACCCAGCTGAGTTGATGGTAAGTTTTGATGTGACATCACTTTTCACCAATGTACCTAAAAAAGAGGTGCTAGGAATAACAAGACGTTGTCTAAATGAAGATGTCACACTGTGTGATCGGGCCAAACTAACGGCTGAGCAGATAATCGAGGGTGTGACAGTGTATCTTAACTTGTCTCACTTCCTTTTTCAGTCGAAGCTTTACAGTCAGGAACGAGATCTCGCCATAGGATCGCCAACATCCCCTGTACTGACGAACTTGTATATGGAAGAGTTCGGGAACAGGGCATTAACAACCACCATTAACTCACCGACACTTTGGTGGCGCTATGTAGACTACACCTTTGTATTGGTTAAACGCGATAAGAAGGACGAGTTGTTTGATCACTTTAACTCCATTGAAGAGAAGATACGGTTTACTACTGAGCTGGAATTTGTAGCGGTACAATTCCATTTCTTGACTGCCTGGTTCACAGGAATCGGGGGGGGGGGAATTTAAAGACGACCATATATTGCAAGCCAACAGATACTGATAAAGTACTTCACTATACTTCGGGTCATCTGCAACAGATTTACGTTGGGATAGCCTTAGCGCTGTTCTACAAGACACAAACCCTGTGCATGACATATATATTTGTGACAGCCTACGAATAGGCACGGAGACATCAAAAACCATGGAACTCAAAGGAAGGTACAGATATTGTTAAAAATACAACGCAACACGGTTGAGTCCATGGTTTGGTCAGGGAGCAAGGTACTACCCGGTTTCCCAAGCCGAAGTAGGGTGTTGACTTAGGGGACACCACCCCCAGCCTTTGGCTGAATGGCCTGCTTGCAAGGCAGCGGAGCGAATTCAGGGAATCGCGCCCATTGGGAGCCGGTGACTGATTGTCCAATTCATACGCCTTTTGTTTGTTTGTTTGCCAAACAGGGCCCAATGCTTCCCAAAATTTCAGCCTTAAGTTGCTGGAATACAATGCTTCGCCGGTATGAAGCAAGGAGCATGGACTTCATTTAGTGGTGAGTCATCTCCGGCACGTCAGTGTTGTCAACCGGATATAAGTGGCTTTTTATAGGGAGGTCGCTTGTCAGGCGGAAGCCCACCACGTCCTGGAACACTGCCGCCGAACGATTTGCTGGAACGGGATAATCCCAAAGCATCCAGCTGGCGCCACGAGCAGGTTGTTTGGCAAGACAGGCTGTGCACGATGGAGGAGGACAAAAAGGCGGCGCTGAAAATGGCAATTGGCAAATTATTAGAAAGTGGTTACCTACGACAGCTAGTCAAACGCCAGTTACAAGAAGTACTAAACCGACACTCAAGACCTACAACGTAGTGGATAGGGACGGTAGGAATTCCGTACAAAGAAGGCACTCCGGAGGCAATTCGGAGTGTACTAAACAAGGAAAATATAAGGGTGATTTGCCAGCGAGGTCAAACGTTACCTTCAGCACTGGTACACCTGAAGAACTCCCTCCCCAAGGATAAGACGACTAACTGTGTTTATAAAATTAAATGTAAGGACTGTACACGTACAGCGAGAGAGTTACGCACACGAATTTCAGAGCACAGGAGGCGCATTTCAAAACCACCGACAAATGCGTTTGAATACCAGGCAATATTATGAGACTCGGTTGTGGCTGTACATGCATTAGACACGGGTCACCAGATCGACTTAGATAAGCTAGAGGTAATTAGGAGGGTTATACGATCAACGCCCCAGAGGCTGATTGCCGAAGCTTTGGAAATTACCAAATCGGACAGCTGTGTGAATAGAATGGTGGGGTTAGAACGCTTTACTGCTTGGCGAGCGATCTTAACCCAGCAAGCCTGACGAGCCTCGGTGCGTGGATCAAATTGAAATGTGCAACTGTACTCTCACTGTCACCATTTTGGGCTTATTCGTCAATGACATGACACACCAAGGAACACCTGGACTATTCCCACTGTGTTTGAACCAACTGGGACATCACGAGCTGTGACTGTAATGACACTTTGGCTCAAGTCTCGAGTAACGCGGTTATCGTCCCTGTTTACTGTAAAATGCCACTCCAGCTGCACACATATTCACCTGGTCTTACAAAGCTCTTGTCACAAGAATGAAACGTTACCAAACAACTAGACCAACCGATTGTTACCAAACGTCTCTGAACTCATGCTTACTCGATCGGTTCCAAGTATCTTCCAAGTATTTGAAATTAATGCTTTATTTTTTCACTGCTAATGAACCGCTATACTACCCCCTGCTTTGTTAACCACTACAGACCACCATTTCAGGCATCGGAGCCAATAAAAGTTTACATGAAAACCCTTAAAGGAATTGACGCCTTGGGTTTAGCACAGAACAAGTACATTTGCTTGAAAGCGCTACAATTTATACGCCGTTTATGTCGATTCAATCCCTCCGAGCGATTAGGCATCGGCAAACATGGCATTCAGGAGATTAGAAGTCACAAGTGAGTCACACTTCTGTTGTTGTTGTTGTTGTTGTTGTTGTTGTCACATGTGCATATGGATAGTGATGTATCGCTTGTTGCACTCTGCGATAGTTGAGCACTTTCGCGCTCGGTGAGGCTGAATAGTGAGAAACTTATCGCTACGTGTAGCGGTTCCGAACAGCTTTTCCCTTTGGACTACGCTTCGGTTAGCCGGACGGGTGCATGTCCGCGCATGCATACCTGCACTTCACAGCTTTCTCGGCACTGAGCAAACGCAATTCAGAGTCACTGTGGACTCTTCAGCCACATAGGATACATAGCACATCTGCCGTCCGTCACTGATCCCAAGCGGAGAGATGAGCGTGTGCGGAAATTCTAAAATGCCCTCTTCCGCAGGTCGACATGCTGGATGCCCCATTTCAGCATCCTCTCAGGCTGTCTCCGACAATCGAGGTCGTATTCTGTAAGCACATAAATGTCACTTGTTGAATGACCCTCAGGATATCTGTCGTCTCCAAACAAATATATGCGTGTTAGCTACTTATCCGGTTTAACTACACACCTGTACACTCGCTTGTCAGTTCAATTTCAATTTGCCCATAGAAGGCTGCATCGAGGCAGTTTTTAAGTTATGTCGGATCTCCCGCTCGTGGCCGAAAAGATAAGGCGTCTGTCTTGCAACCCGGAGGTGGCGGGTCCGCGCCTACTTACTGGACCGCGTGACCCTCGCAGTATCCTTAGACCAAGCGCGACTGCGGTCGTCAGCTTAGACTAAGAAATCTGAGTATATCGCTTTTCTGAGGTTTTGTTAGCACTAAGAATAGACACTATCGTAGTGCCGTCCTTTGGAGTTCCCCTTAATCGATTCGATTGCTGACACTTGGACTCACGTTTTGAGGAACCGTTCGAGGAAGCAACGTCAGAATGAGGTAAAACTGCCTTAAGTTGGTTACATTTGCAGCTCTATGGACGTATCGATCTAGTCCTGCAACCATTTTGCACCATGAAGGTGCAAAGCACATGCTGCAATGTGCAGCTCTACGCGTCAGTCAATTCAGTAGTACTTGCATAGCCAATGCGTCAGACCCATAGAGAGCTATATCGTCCGCATATTCAAAGTTTGTCAATCGGTCATCTGGCAGAACATCCAACCCGGAAAAGTATGGAAAATACGGAGACTCTTATGACTATTTCGATCATAAAGTTGAAAAGAGATGTCTGACAATCCTGGGGAACCGCATTTGTCGTGGGGAACACAGGAAAAGGCTTCCCGTATACCCTTACTCGATCTCGGGATTCAAGGTAAAGAGTCTTCAGAATGGAAAGGGGTTTAGCTGGCACGCCCTTCACGGATAGATAATACCACAAGCTGGCTGGAACAGCAGAGTCCAATGCTGCTTTCAGGCCTAGAAGAACCACCATAACTGGTCATATGTAACTGTATCACTAATTTAACACTTGACGAAGGGTAAATATGTGGTCGATCCAACCACCCCATAGCTGAAGTCAGCCTGGCTTTCAGCAACTTAGATCTAATAAGGACCGGTCTGTCGCCGAAGAATGAGAATCGTGAGAAGTTTGGAGGCAATACCTTTATGCGTTTCACACAAAGTCCATGGAACCTTCTTGAAGATGGGCACAACAGTTGACAGTCGCCAGTCTTCAGTGTTCAAAATCGTGTTCAATGGAGCAGCAAGTCTAGTCAACAAATAGTTTCATCTATCTTTCAACAGAGATGAAGAATGGTCATTAGGCCCAGGAGCCTTGCTTCGTTTCAACGTGACAACCTCATGTCAAATCTCTTTCAAATTGGGAGGTGTGATATCAACTTCCCAGGAGGGCTCAGATAATTCAGCAAATGAGAACGTCGCAGTAAGCCTACGGCACTGCTTTTCAAGCAGTTCCAGCAAACGGATAAGTTCACGAGACTGAGGATGTATCATAGTTTGTTTCAATAACTGCTGGTATTCGCGGAGGCGTGTTCCTGTCAACTTGGAACAGTGCACGACTGTCCGAAATAGTACCGGTTTTCTCCACCTCGCACATCCTTCCCAAACACCAAGGTTCCCGATGAATTCGAGGACCCTTTGCCAGTCATCATTTCAGGGCGGTACGGACACGCTGAAACTGAGTACCTATCGGAACCTGTCTGTGGGTTTTCATCAAACTAATCAATGCCTCACAGATTCATTCACATTACGGATGTCGCAATTTGAGCGTACTGCATGTGTCAAAGTCATTCTTCATGGTACACTTGCGACGATTACAGTCAGTGTTCTGCTCACCAACCTCATGCACCACGCACAAACGGTGGAGCGGTTCATTATGATATGATCGAATTGCGGACTGTGAGTCCAAATTAGGCGGAACGAGTGAGCGTTATGCCTGCGTACACTAAGATGTGGTTGGAATCTATGCCCGTGCTCCAAATTGACCGACTATCTCGATTTGGTTTGCGACATTTGTAGCCGACTGTAGTGCAGTCAATTTGGATTCAGGTAATCGAGGGATTCGGAAGGCGCCAAGTGACACGATGTGCATATTTGTGCTAATATAAAGACTGTGACCGTCACACAGTTGCAGGAGTCGATTGTAACTGTCTGTTCAATATGCATTTAGTCATAAACGGCTTCTCAGGTGTAGTTCGAAGGACTATCCCTTTGGGTATTCATTGTACCAGCAGCAATCACGATATCAATGTTTTGCGCCATACGGATGCGAGATGATAGTCAACCATGGAAAGCTTCTTTGACACCCTCCGAAGTGCAGTCAATGGGAGTGCAAACCAAAACGATGTAAAGGCACCCTGTCCTCCAGCGCTGTAGCGGTTCGAAATTGAATCGTACAACTCGACTGTTCACTAGTGTCCAGTCGAGTAGACCGCGCTCGTAATTTTTGCTGATTTCGATTCCAGCACCGTAAATGTCTTGAGTCACTGACTCAGTATCCTTATAGTGGTGAAGAGCTCAGTCATTGTCGGAACCAGGGAGTCGAGAAGCGGTCACAACACTTTTGTCTTCTACACATATTTACAAAGTAGATAGAGCACACATAAATACCAAGAAAGTGTCGAGTGAGAGTCAGTGTTACCTGTTGGCCGATCTGACCCAAAGTGAGAATGTTAAAGGAACCACTGTGACATGAGACCTTTGGGATGAGAGACGAGTTACTTGTATAGATGGTAGTAGCTGTGAGGTCAGCGGCAGACTTTTGTTCAAGTGACAGTGAAGAAGAGATTTGCGTGGGGAGAGAAAAGCAAGTAGCATAGGAAGGAGTGTTGGCAGCGATGTCGAGAAGGCAGGTGATACTTTCTAGCTGTTCGTTGCTGGAGATGATTTATTTTATTGATTACCTAGGGAAATATCACAACGCGCGGTCAATGAGTACCTAACGTTTAATAAGTTTGCTGTGTGGTAAGTTGCTATTGTGCTAACGCGTTTTGCTGAACTAACCGTTATTCCGTTTACTAACCACATTTCCTTGGCCCCGCTTCTACGCGGAAATACAGGAAAGAATATTACCTACCTACAGTCCTACAGCGCGATCGGTGGCCTAACATGCTTAGGCTAATGGAGGCCATCATTAACGATCGCGAGCGAGCGCCACTGTGTATTCAAAAATAGCTGACTGTGGATTTAAGCCCACCGTGGTAGCGTGATTATTTACGACCTCTTCGAAATTGTTGATTATTTATTTAAGTATCATGGTTGCATGTTTTTTCAATTGATAATAATGCACGAAATGACGACACCATCTCACAATCTACGTCTTCTGATTTTCCTGTTTAGAATTAGCTTAAAAAGAATTTGACTGGAATTTTTGCACTACAGTTGGGTTTAATAAACCGTGTTTTTTCAGACCCCTTAACGAATTTGTAGCATGGGCAGTGTATGGAGTGTCCTTTAGCAGCTCTTCTGTCACATGTTTCATTTCCCTACATGCTTCCATTGGCGTTCGTCTGTTCCGCTCTTTTACCTTACTTGTACCGGGACTTAACTACAAATTCCACTCTACTCCCCACAAATAGGTACTTCCAGGGCTTTGACTGGGCAGCCGTTGCCAAACAGACCTTGCCAACACCATTTAAAGTGAAGGTCAGTATTCCTTCTGCTCATGCATCATTACCCGGTTGTTTACCATGATAACGGAGCCCCTCTACCCACCCATTTTTCTTGAACATATCGCTTGAGGAGTTTACATACTTTCCACATTATCTGTCACTCGTTTCATGAAAATTTTTGAGTTTACTCTGCATAAATTTATCGGCAGGCGTTTGACAGCGTGACTGATTCACGTGAAACCTACTTCTGGGTTTCAATTGATTCCATAAAAGACGAATTGCATTGGTGTGTGTGAACTGATGTAGCGAATTTCAATCTTAACCATCTGCCTCTACCCTGGCGATAGATCGATTTGTGGTTAGAGGATGGTTGACTGGCTGAGAAGTCGTGTCTAGCCATCAGTTCCCGGCATTCCTCTGCTTCCACCTTCCGGTCCATCATATCTTCCTTCATCAGTAACCCACTTCATACCGCAACTTCCATTTTGCCACCTTTTAACCGACTCTGTGTTCGTGTTTCCACTTGATTTCACTTTAACTCCTTGCTACCGTAGAATCACAGTGATCTGAAGTTGAGTGTTTTTGGAAAAGGGCGGTTTCCAGCCACATTCAGTGGCATAAATGCCATTGCGGATCCATGGTTCACTGCATTCAGTTGGTACAAGTGCTGGTACGTAACTATTTCATTTACGGCACACTTACTGTCCGTCGTAAATTAAACGCTGGGTCTTATGGCCGTTTCACATTTTCTACATGTTATTAGATGTGCTTTCTGAACTCCACAGTGTACACTAAAGTATACTATTTTCCCGGAATATGAATTGTGTCCTATATGAACGGGCTCGATATTAGCCTTCTTCCTCTTGACTTTACATTGCCTCTCACCACCGCGGCCTGATTGGTTTGACTTTAACTTATCTCTTTTTGAGTTGGAGTGTGTCAGTGGCTCTCTCCCAACGTCACACTCAAAGGCCTGACTCTTCCGGTAAACATAAGGTGAGTCGAGATTGGAACCCGACACAGAAGTTGATGACCCCAGCCATTATGCCAGAGCTCCGCGAACAACACTTGACCCTCAGCTATGAAGTTTTCCTGGTATTTTCATTTGTACATCAACTTGCAACACCTTGCCTTTGATTCACGCGTTCATTTCTAAATCAATGAAGGCTGTTCGAGGCTCCCCGTAATTGTCAGAAGGTGTTGTGATTCGTTTTTGGCATCTGCACCAACTTTTGCTCATTTGCCTGCTTAGAGCCAACCTACTTTTCTGGTATATCGGGCATTGCAAAATCGTATGCGCCTGGCACCCTTGGTGCACGGTGACTCAACTACTGGCTACTTTTCGGTTGATTGTCACAATCACATCGCGAATCTGCTGACTATCAGTTGTCGTTCTCACCCAGTGGACAAGTTTTTGAGGCTCCTGGCTTGTAAACAACTGGTCGTCGGTTCCAGTCTGCAGGAGATCTCGCAGCATACTTAGTCCACACATATGGTGGCGTGGCATCGAAGTGTTGGTGCTAAGCACCAGCGCGTTTCTGGTGCCTACATTTTTGGTCGTGGCATGCGGTTATCAATACACTTCTAGGGATGAGTTTACTCGGTTCTAAGAATGTGGTTCACACCGTCCGGACCAGCAATCCGACACGCCACCATTATCGAATGAGTTGCTTAATGCGAACGGACAACTAAGGCCATTAAAGTGTGCATACTTCATCCACAGTCGTTTGATTCCATCCTATATTTCTATTCTCCCTCCTCATCTCATCTACCTACAGTTGAGTGGACCACTGGATTATTCCAACTTCGATCGTTTTACAATGGATGAACAAGAGCCACCAGATGAGTTGTCCGGATGGGATGCCAACTTTTGATTAACGTTTCAAATCGAACTACATTCACACTCTTCATTCGCTTTGTCAGCAATGTCGAAGCGTTTATGTACTACACCTATCCTCTTGAAAAGCGCCAATCACGTGCCACATCGGCTGAACACACCTTTCATTAGTATTGAGAACACGCAGCATCTTAAATCAGCGCTTTGGAGTGCTTGCGTTGAATTTCAGACCATTTGTGCTTACCGAGTGCTCCCAATCGCAATCTCAACCGATGTGTCATCACCCTCTCTCTTCGGTTTGTCTACACCGAGTGTGTTTGCAGTATCTTCGATTGAAACCTGGTTTGTGATTACTGGTGCTTCCAACCCCCATTATTTAACACCCCGCCCCTCAAGTTGAACGGAGAACACCTAAGTAACTTCACAGGTCTCCTCTTTTTCCGTTTGTTTGTTTGCTCCTTTTCAGCGCTTCCTTCTCGTAAGCAGCAGCGTTGCCTTGAGTATCTAACACTACCGTACGTTTTCATTGCACAAACCACCGGGCGTTTTGCTCATGCGTGCGTGTATGCGCATGCTTGTCATCGTCGCTCTCGGGGACTTTTTCACTAATTGCGAAGATCACATTGTGTACCAATTCTGACACCGGATCGGTCTTCTCACCTGCTTCTGTTTGGCTAAGTGACTTCGATCGATGTTCAAGCGCCTCCTACCACTCACCCCCTCATATTTACCGGTCTGTAAAGTTGAATACTTTTCACAGGTTTGTTACAATTTACCGCCCTTGTATACTTATTTATTTGTCACTCAATTCCGGTCCCCTTCCTCACTTGAATTTGCAAGCGCTTCGATCAGTACTTACTTGTTAGAAATTTCAGATATGAAAATGCGATAGGGCTCGCCCTCGTTGTTCCACACCGTAGAGCAACTCAACTACAGTTCGCTAGTACGTTTTGAGTTCTTCTCGATGATATGAACTGGGCCGATTTACTGATGCTTTACACTCCTTGGACGGTAGTGCACTTCCCACGTGGACAACTCATAGTTTGGTTAGGAGCACATGCGTGCATCCTTCATTTGCCCACCTTCTCCATCCTATCGGTCCTTAGGCCGATCCTACAGCTCGTAAGAGATTTTGTGTACATTATGAGTTCTCTACCAAAGCGAACATGTACGCTAGATTTTAAAAGCTAAATACTGCACGCTCGAGAAAACATGCGTAATTAGATCAGCGACATCGCGAAAATATTCGCTTGAGTTCCTCCTTCCGCGGTCCTTAAACCATTCTTCCACTTTGAGAGATCCAGGAGGACACCTGTTAGATACGTGTGGTTAGCATGTTTCCTACGGTACACAGTGGAGTGGCGCCTCTACTGAAATCGAAATCACTCCAAACTAATTGAAGCAAAAGTGTTCTTCAGTTTTGAGCGCTGCCGGGAGTCAGAACCACCCAAATCGTCCATTACTGATACAGTCTCAGTGATCAAGGTGACGGAGGTCTACTTCACAACAAACCGAGATCCCAGTAAAGACTAGGTGTCGCAGTCCAAAACAGCACCGCATTCTCGACCACTGTACTAAGCGTTTCTCGCGAATCTCAGTGGCCTAGTGATCAAGGCGTCATCCAGTAACTCCCGCTTTCCGCTTCCAGCTCTGGCTGTTTGAGTCCAATCAAGCACAAAACCGGTCGTGCAGTGCGGTGTTGTGATGGAGGCAGCAACACTGAGCACCCTTTCACACGAGTCGTTCTTCGTTCTATTCCAGATTGATCTAGACAATGTGCTCAGTGCAGCATTTCCACCACCTGATTTTGAGGGCGTGTAGGACGAGCATATAACTCAATGTTTTCGACAAGTAGATGGCGTTCCGTGTTTATTCGCGCACAGTGAAGTCATGGGTGCAAGAGTTCGGCACTTTCCATCATCTCATTGACAGCCAATGGGAATATAACGCTTACCAAAGCTTCCGCAGCCTGTTAGGAGTTCGAGAGGAAAATTCCATTCTATGGGATCACTTCACAAACACCGGATGAACACGGTAAACTTTGAGCTCGGTCCATCACAGTACCGCATCAGATCCGCTAATCACTAGTAGTGGTGCTTTGCTCAAACAACTTACATACGCGCGCAGTTTGCTGACACAATTTCAATTGGCTGTCGCATGGTCGGATGGAGCAGCGAGTCCACAGGAATGTTTACGTGGTTATCCAGAGCCACTTCTGGGAGAGTTCATGCAAGTTAGACATATGCAGATAAAATAGCCGCAATTAGTATTTTTAAAACAGTTTGTTCCCTTTAGTAACCTGAAAAGCACAATTAGTAGACGAAGCTCGGCAGATACATGTATTTTGTATCGTCTCATCAGTGCCGATAACGATACCCGCTAATTTTATATAACAGTTTGTGGATACAGACATACATACAAATAAAGGAGAGAGAAAGGAGGAGAGAAAAGGAGAGAGAGAGAGAGAAAGGCGGTGTCTTTGTTCTACAACCAGGGCAGCCTGAGGCTGACCGATAATTTTCATAGAAGGTATATTTGCAAAAATCTACGAATAGACCTAATGCCATCAGAAACCATGGGGTTCAAACCAAGGTACAGAAATAGTAAAATAAAAGACAACACAACAATGTCCATGGTTTCCTCAGAGGGCGAGGTACTACCCGGTTGCCCAAGCCGAAGTAGGGTGTTGACTTAGGGGACACCACCCCGAGCCTTTGGCTGAGTAGCCTGTCCGCAAGGCAGCGGAGCGAATTCAGGGAATCGCGCCCATTGGGAGCCGGTGACTAATTGCTCAGTTCATACGCCTTTCGTTTGTTCCTTTGTCAAACAGGGGCCCAATGCTCCCCAGAAGTACAGCATGATGTTGCTGGAATACAATGCTTCGCCAGGATGAAGGAAGGGGCAGTGACTTTATTTACTGGCGAGTCACATCCGCCACGTCACAGTGTTGTCAAACGGACATATGTGGCTTTTTATAGGAAGAACGCTTGCCAGGCGAAAACCCACCACGTCCTGGTACACTGCCGCCGAACCATTTGCTGGAACGGGAAAATCCCGAAACACCCGGCTGGCACCACGAGGTGGATGTTCGGCGAGCCAGGTAGAAGTCACGATTAAACTCCACACGAAAATCTGCCTCGACGGGGAATCGAACCCCGGTCCACGAATTTCCGGTCCGCTGCTCTACCACTGAGCTACCGAGGGCTGACGATTAGGTGCGGAATTTAACACGTGACTTCTGCTTGGTGCGCGACGTATTGCCAATGAGCTCACAGTAACTGTCCTGGTGTTGCAGATCGGCTCACTCACTCGTCACTTCCCAGTGGACCGAAGTAACTGTCCATCCGAAGTCCAAAGGGCAATGGTATTATTTGAAGGATGTTTGTGAGTAACGTAAGTTTCGTAGAAGGTAGAAGTCACGATTAAACCACACGAAAATCTGCCTCGACGGGGAATCGAACCCCGGTCCACGAATTTCCGGTCCGCTGCTCTACCACTAAGCTACCGAGGGCTGACGATTAGGTGCGGAATTTAACACCAAGCAGAAGTCACGTGTTAAATTCCGCACCTAATCGTCAGCCCTCGGTAGCTCAGTGGTAGAGCAGCGGACCGGAAATTCGTGGACCGGGGTTCGATTCCCCGTCGAGGCAGATTTTCGTGTGGTTTAATCGTGACTTCTACCTTCTACGAAACTTACGTTACTCACAAATATCCTTCAAATGACCGCTAATTGTTTTTGAACACAAAGCGCTGGCTTAATCCGATTAATGGCAATAGCCTCGGCAAACCGGCGGAGCAGGGAATTAGTATGGCGAAGCAGGATCCTAAACGCCTTGTTGACCTCATTTCGGTGACCCGATGTCAATAAGTGCCTGCCGATCGAAGATGCTGGCGGCCTGCGTACACATGTAGTCTGAGTTGGGCTTGCTTACTGAATAAGTCCGCACTGAACCCATTTTGGTACATGCTCCTTTATTCGGGAACTCAGTGTTCTATTGGTTCTGCCTATGTAACTATCCCCGCAGTTACATATGAATTGAAATACGCAGTGGGAGTTGGCGTCAATAGGCTGAGTTTCCTTTAGTGGAGGCAACGGTAGGTTATGAGTTCGGTCGATGATTACAGCTTCGGCAGCACAGAAAGTGCTTTGTGGCAGAAATCAGACGTCTTTTGGTTCTCAAAGAAGCAATGGCACCCTTAAAAGGCAGCTCCAAGAATACCTTTTTCTTAGGCACAGTAGGTACAGCAACTTTCATTTCACGAATTTCAGTGTGCTTCCGGATATACTTTCGAGGGTAGCCATTAGCAATTAACGTGTTGGTTAATTAATTCTAGTTCATCGGCTAGACAATCGCTCGGACATATTCGTCTAGCGCGACTAAACAGGGTCCTCACAAGCGTTCGCTTGTGCCGAATTGGCGTAAAGCTGCTAAAATGCAGATACTGTCCCGACCACGTGGTTTTTCGATAGACAGACCGTTTTACCAGTCCGTCCTCCCTGCGGCTGATAAGAACATCCAAATATGGAAGACAGTTCTGTTGTACGATTTCACAGAAAACCCTCAAATTAGCATGCGCATAGTTAAAACGAGCCACTAGCTGTGCGATTTGCATTTCTGTCGAACTGAACACCAATATATCGTCCACAAAACGCTTGTAATAGGGTAACTGCACTATTTCTTCGGATAGGCTTCGTTCTATCATTAGCATTAAGAAATCCGCTAGTATGGGACTCAGTGGGCTGCCCATGGCTACCCCATCAATTTGGCGATACGCGATGTTTTGGAAGTGGAAATCGACATTCTCTGTGCATAGAAGTAATGATTCTCTTAAGAATTCAACTGGAATCGGCAACGGACATTCGGAACTTTCTACTAATTCGCAGATGTAGTCAACGGTCTGGTGTAGCGGTAAGTTAGTAGACAAAGATTCCACATCTAAGGAACACATCACCTTATCGGACAAGTTCATTTTATCGAGGTCTTCGACAAGCACGAAGGAATCTTTGTGGCCATAATAGATTAAACTGCTCTTGTAGCGGAGAAAGCACATTAACCAACCAGCGAGCTAATTTATGTTGGGGTGCGTTTGTCATCGAGATGATCAGTCTGCGCGGCACTCCGCTCTTGTGCGTTTTTGGAAGCCGATATAGCTATGGCGTAGTTGATCCACTCGGCTTTAAACTGTTATAAGTAGCGCTGTCGATCATGTGATACTGATGAAGCATTTCTAAGTGGCGAATGATTCAGGATTCGAATGCAGTCACATCCCCTGACTTCTCTAGTCGTTTAAATTTGTTAGTGTCACTAAGTATGATGCTCATCATCTCAGCTCTTTCATCTTTGTTCATGACTACAATTCCAGAACCCTTATCCGGTGGCTCGCCTAGGACTAAACAAACTCGCCTTAACTCTGGTAAACTGGACGACCCCATTGTGTAACTGGAATATCAAAAGCAGCTTCGTGAGTATATCACTTCTCCGCCTCCTCAGGACGTTGATCAGCATTAGTCGTGATGGCAACAGATTATGTTTTCAACGGGTTTATCCAGTTGCGGTCCTGTTCGTTGCACGACTAAAAGTTGTAGCTCGGCCACCTCTAAGGAACTTCTCGACTATTGGCGAGCTATAACCGCCAGTGTGGAGCACACTGAGCTCCGCCGTTCTATTTCCAGACAACTGAAAGCGAGTCTTCGCCATGCCTGTGAATCCTGGTGGTCTAAGCATGCCAAGGAAATGGTAGTTGCTACCTCTGCTGGTA